CCACCCCTGTGTGCCACAGCGATGATGCTTGCCTCTTATCATCGGAGATGACCCAATTCGAGTTGTTGCTATTGTTGTTGTTGCCTGTTGGCGCTGCGATAAGGCTTTAAGAGCCAACCGCAAGCCACATGCAAATTACCCAGGCCCGACAACTCGACAGGCCCAGTTACAGCTGTCAAAATGTAGCATAATCAATTGCATTTGCAGATACTATATACTTCTATATATATATATATATATGTATATATCTAAATAGGCGTAGGCATAGCGGGAATACGTTGCCCATGGCATCAGAGTTGTCCTGGCAATGCAAATTATATGCTCAAACCAGCGGAAATTGCCATCAGGCGCTTAAGCAGCTTTAATGGTGCGCATAAAATTGCCAGCTGGCCCGGGGATAATAAGGACTACATATTTCGTTGCCTACTTTTGTGCGCTTTGCTGACTTTCAAGTCGCGTTTGTCCCAAGGTGGGCGTTGAAGTGTATAAACCTCGCCGTGAGTGCAATTCGCATGTTGTTGTCAAGAAAAAAAATAATAATAATCCTTATTAGGCAGCGAGGCAGGGGCGGAGCGAGTTTAAGCTAGCTGCCTATCAAATTGGCAACTAGGGGAAAGAAGTGCTCAAGTCGCAAGCACACAGGAAATATGAATGGCCTTTGGGGCATTGCACACACGCTTTCTATTTTGTGGCAGGATCAGCAGCAGCAGCAGCAACAGTAAAACTGATGCTGACTTCCCTAACACACAAACACACACACATACACTCGAACTGTGCTATTTATAGGCAGTCATTTGGCCGCCTCTGCACAAAAGTCAATAATTTATGCTTCCGCTTCCACGTGGCTCCAGTGCTCCACATGAGGCACACAGCCCCAACAGCAGCAGCAGCAGCTGCGCCAGCGGCAGCGGCAGCCGCCGTTAATGCGCTTCCACTGACCCAATTCGTGTGCTGCAAATCAAAACAAACATAGTTCCAGGCGCGCTCTTCTTCTTCGAGCCTGGCCGCTCTCTGAATCTCTCTCTAAGAGAGTTGCTGATGGCTTCTCGTGCTCTTTGACCAGATATATCCATGCGCGCGCACTCTGTTTGGCAGGTTTCTCTGGCACTGTTATTGGCCCGGCCGCTCTTTTTGGCCCAGTTTTTTGCAAGTTAACAGACGCTTTTCATTTGGGGCAGGGGCAGCAGCAGGCACAGGGCCAACCCCCAGTTAAATATGCTTACCTATATACACACACACACACACACACACACATATCTATACATATATTTGTGCTTGTTTGTGGATTTCGTCGAGGCGCTCGCATTGCTATATACAGTTGACCCAATTCCGTGCTTGTCCTTCCCACAGCTGTTCCGTTTTCTGTTTGCCATTGCCTCGTCGCTTCGACTCTTTTTGGGTGTGGGGTTGTTTATGTTTGCGGCCAAAAATGGAAAGCGAACACAGAAAAAGAACTTGTTATTTATACAAGGCACGTAAATGTGAGTCTGTCGATGTGTATGCATGTGTGTGTGTGAGTGTGTGTGTGCGGGGTTGGTTACTTTATGCTGTCAAGCAAATGTTCATTGATTGTGAAAGCTAGAGGAAATTACATATAAAGCAACAACGAATCGCTGATAGCGCAGTTTCACGAATTTCATTACTTGTAAAAAGAATTTTAATGAAATTCATTGCAGTCAAGCGTTTCAATAACTGCCAACATCAATAATCACAGAACTCACAAAAGCGCGCACTAGTATTAGTGAGCTTTATGTTGCTGCCGTAGCAAATCGTTTGAGCTTTGCTCAAATTTAACATAGGTGTGCTCTGTGCATGTGAAAGCTCAGTGTATCTCAGTACATTTGTGCAAACAGGCAACTTGCCGATTAAAGCAGATTAAACCAGTTCACTCAACGCACCCAAAGCACGTGTATATATATAATGTATACATATATATGCTATATATGGCACTATAACCTTATGCCGCATTGATGGCGCAGGCACGCCTGTTACTGGCGCCGGGCAAATGGCAACAACAGCGTGTAACCAGGATAAGGCAGCCGTAACGATGCCACTCAGCTAGCAGCTCCAGAAAACACACATACACGCACACAAAAGAATACACGTAGCTGGAGTCAGCCCCAAGCGAAACGGGAATGCCAGATGGATTTCCTTTAGCTCTTCCTCCTCTTTGGCTCTCTCCTTCTCTGCAACTTCAGACTGCCTTAAACAAGATTTGTATTATTCCTGGCATTTCCGCACACTCACGTTGCCTATTTACGCGCTGGTCCAGGCGCCAAATCAGGACACAGTGCGGTAGGCGGCATGCGGCATGCGGCACAGAGCGGCCATTGTGTGCCACCGTTTAGGGGATGCTTGTGCCCTAGAGGGCGGGGGCAGGCAACGGCAAATGCTAACTGAAACTTCAGTTGTTTTCTTTCATTAGTAGACAGACGACTGTTGGCCCCCGTCCACTGCAGCTCATTAGACAACGCAACATAATTAACGCACGCACACATAAAGAGAGAGAGAGGGAGAGAGAGAGAGAGAGCGAGAGAGGAGAAGAGATGAATACAGACTCCATCATTTACTGAGCTTATGCAACACGGCAGGTGGCAACTGCTCGCGTGTACGCGGATTGTTGCCTTGGCTATTGGCTTGCCCAGAAATTGATAAGCCAAAATGATTTTCGACTTTGTTGGCGCATTAATTAAAAATAATTAAAGGCAGTAGAAGGAACAGCAGCAGCAGCAGCCGCAGCGGCGGCATTTGACGCCGTCTGCTGTAAATTGCGTATACTCCGCTTTGTCTGTTCGTGAACTTAATCAAAGTTTTTGCCAAATTCAATTCCTGTTCTTTGTTGTTGCTAATTTCGACGCACACACACACACGCACACTCATCCAGAAGTATACTCATAATATAGAATAAATACTTTTATATTTATATGCCAGCCACACGCTGACGAAACTCGAAAACTTAAGAACTGCCACTGCACAGCACAGCAGCTGCCACAAATGGCAACAATTGTTGAACGCACACACACACACACACACACACATGTGTGCACGTTAATATTTATGAGCAGGATATGCGCCATATCCTGCGCTCCGTTCGCTGGCCGCAAACGAATTATGGCGCCCACTAATTGCGCTGAGTTAAAACGAAAAATGTGTAGACCCGCTGGCAGGCTCCAGGCAGTTAATGTTCCACACACCCACACACACACACACAGCTCTATTAAAGTCTGTGTATGCATGTGTGTGTGTATGTGTGTATGTTAACAATTTACGTCATTTATGTAGCTGAAGTTATTTATGTTTATGATTACGTTGCGGTTAGCAGCTTTCGCTTCGCTTTCGCTTCGCTTTCGCTTTGTGCCACTCGGCCAGGAAGAACGCACGGATGTTGCTCTTGTTGTTTTCCGTGCTCCTGGGATTGCTTTAGAGCTCAATAGTAGACATTTCAGAGCTCTGGAAGGCATCATTAGACGCTGTGAGTTATGGTTGCTCTACGCAACAATAGTTGCAAAACTAAAAGCAAAACACTGAAAATAGCTGCCTAATTAAATTATTGAATGCGAGCTCTTAATAAAAGGCAGCATTCAAAATTAACGCGGCTTAACATTTAAATTAATAATAACATAACAATTATTAGGTACATGTACATAAATAAGTAAAAGGTGCCCGGTTAAGGGTTCGCTAGCCACCCCTTTTGATGTGAGTAGAAAACTGACAGCGAAATTCCTACATTATCCTAGCAGCTAATAAATAATGGAGTCTGAAAATCATGACTGCAAACCTTTTGCCCATCCCCAGTTGACTAATCCAATAGATTAAGTTTTGGTTCCACTTCTGTTAACCCAAGTTTGCTTCGACAAACTTCTTTCAATTTTTAATTTATTAAAATTTTTAAATTTCTTATTTAACTAAAAGTTAAAACGCCAAAATCACAAATCGATTCGTTTCAAAATGGGCTCACAGCCTTGCTCGTATATTTAGCTAAACGCTAGAAATAAACAACCTTTTCTGTTGCTAAATAAAGCACTTCATTGGCCAAACAAATTGTTAATCACTTGACAAGCAAAATTTAATTTTCAATTTGTGCAGCATTGCACACAGCACACAAGGACAAAACTTTGCCACAACATACAGTCACAAGGACGCAATCAAAAATACGAAACACCAAAAACTGAAAAATAAAATCACAGAAAGCCAGCCGTTGAACTGGGTCAACAGCGCTGCCAGCGTCCTAACCTTCAGCATAAAGCGCAGCATAATTGCAGTCGCACGGCCGCTAAATAATGCAGAGCTCTCTTTGAGCGAAAGTGAGAAGCGTGTCAAGGCGAGCGAGGGGCGGCGGTCGGTGAGCGGAAAGCGGAGAGCGGTGAGCGGCGAGGCATGAGTCTGGGCGAGACCAAGGTGACCCAGTAAATGGGCGCGCGCTTGGAAAATTGGGACAGGCGCTCGGCAAGGGCAAGGCGGGCGGACGGGCCGTGTTATCAGTGCAGCGTGTGCAGAGTGCAGCCGGAATGGAAGCGGAGCTCATTCGGCATCCTCGTGCGCGGCATCGTTTGATGCTCGTGTGCGCATCCTGTCAAAACCGGGCAGCCACCAGCCAGCGAACGCAGCCACACAGCCACGCAGCCAGTTGCATTGTCCGCACCAACACAGTCGCATTTAGCACCGGCCCGGCACCGGTTCACTGGTGCTCCTGCTCCTGCTCCTGCTCGTGCTCCTCCAGCTGAAGTTGCTCGCCATGCACGCAACGGCTTTGAACTACTACGTGGAGCGCAGTGACTACGAGTCGTATGGCGAGCGTGGCGCCAGTGAAAGTGAAGCCAGCCCGGGCTGCCGATCCTCTGCATCCTCGCGCGCCGGCACACCGCCCACTCACGCCCATTTTCAACGACAAGTACGCAGAATTAGCTCATCAGTTTATATACTTATTATAATTAGCGATAACTTGGATATCAGTTGGAAAAGTTGTCTAATCCGAAATGTTATTGTTCTTGTATTTGCAGTTGAAAAAATTCCGTTGTACCTGGAAAGGATGCGGCATTGTGGAGCCCACACAACTGAAAATTGAACGACACGTGCGGGACAAACATTTGGGGTAAGTGCTAGCAAACAGCAGTGGTTTCAAGAGCCCCCAAAGGGTGCTCCAAGAGGTGGCAGCGGCCAAAAGCGAACTACAATCAAGAGCAGCAAGTGGCAGGGCCTTGACTTAGTGCAACCGACAACGACAACAACAACAACAAGCACAATGCAGCGCGCGTCACAATTGATGCACAGTGGTTAGGAATAGCACAAGAAATGCAGCTTGGGTATAAATCGATAGAAGTCTTCCGAATGGTAAACATAAATCTAAAAGCTTCTGGGCCTGAAAAAACAGTGATTTAAGCAACGAAAGTGTTTCACATTTATACACAAATTTCGAATGATTTCCCACCCTTTCCACAATTCTTAGTATGAACTGAAAGTTTTTGCTTTTCTTTTGATATCTTCTAACATCTTTTAGCTATGAGTCAATTTATTGAATTACACGGAAAATATTTCGAGAGAATTTAATTTTTATAACATTTTGCTTAAAGCTCGAAGAAATTTTCTTATCTAAATTTGCCACCATTTGCATGCAAATTAAATTCCACGTTCAGTCCACTGTGCAAGCCGCTTCGAGCTGTTTAAAATAGAACACTTGTGTACACATGCATGTGTGTGTGTGCGCGTGTGTGCAGTAACCAGGTCACACACATACACGCGCGCGCACGCACGCACACACACATTTTGGGTTGACTTACCGCACCTGCATTGCAAGTGGCGCAAACGGCATAGGCGTGCGGGGAGGCGTGGCACTTATTGGGGCTTGTTGGGGGCGACAGCGCTGCACTTTTGAGGCCAAGGTCCGAGGCGCGGGCCGCTAAGCGTTGACATTTGCGAATGTTAAATGCTGTTTCCTATATAAATTGCTTGGGCAGCGAGGGGCGATCCACAAAAAAAAAAAGATCAAATAAAAGGCTGTTTTTTAGGTTCTGTTTTCAAATTTGTTTTTTTTTTTCTGCATAGATGCATGGGTATGTACTTATATAGAATTATAGTTTATACTTGTATTCAGTTGCATGTATTGTATATGTGTTGGTGGTGTTGTTGTGGTAGTTGAGTTTATTGTTGTTGTTGGCAAACGAACAGCTCTAGAGCTACACTAAAAAGTACAATGCACATACTTGACTGTATGTATGTATATATAAATGTGTATAATTTATGCTTTTATATGCTATATATGTATGCACTATTATATGTATATGTTCATAATGTCAACTATGCGCTTGGCAGGCTGGTAGCGACGTAGGAGCTATTGTTCTTTCCATATAAGTAGAACTAGGTGAGAATTGCAAAACAAAATATAAAAAAGGGGGGGGACAAAAATGGAGGAAAACAAGGAAATTAAATTGAAATGTATAATCTCTCAGCGCGACTAATTCATATAAATATACTAATAACTATAACTTAATGGCTATAATCTATGAGCAAATCGTTATGACTTCAAAACTAAGCATAACCATTGATTTTCCGTTTTACAATTGAAACTAGGTTCTTCATTTTCGTTGAGGTACATGAAATAATTGAAATACAATACAATGATATATACTTAAAATAATATAATATAACATACATAGATACAGGTTTAATTATTGAGTTGGTGTTTTGTTTTATTTTGTTTCGTTTCGTTTTTGTTCAAAGCTTGTTTTGTTTTTTTAAATTTTCTTGAAAACTGCAATTGGCATTACCTAGAAACTTCCTGAAGCTGCAGTTAATCTACGTGGATTATTATAGTATATATATATATATAAGATACTCGTATTACATAACACATATACGTTAAAAACTCTAAATGCTATGGGGGGGGCTAAAATTATCCTTATCGATTATATGCTGCTGTTCTAAACAACTACATACGTTAGTCTGCCTTGATTGTTTATCTATGCGATATTTAAAGATCTCATCGATTCTCGTTTTGCTTATTGGTATTACCGATTGATGTACAAAATATCTACAACATATGCCTAGGCGGGGATTGAACAATTTTCGAGTACTTAAAATCAAAAACTCATAACTTTTGGTGCATACAAAACAATTCACAATCTCTTTCAAAATATAAATAGAATAAAAAATTATATAAAAATAAGAGAAAAAAAAGACGTAAACTTTGGACAGAATTAAATAACAAAAGAAGCGTAAAACAAAAACACTAATAGATAATTGTGCTAATTTAGTTTCAATTCATATTTTTAGCCAAATAGATTGCGCCAGCAAGTTGTAGTATTTGCCTTCTTCAACAAACTTTATCGCTTGTTCCTAGTGCGGATGCATGAGTCCATGGGTAATGTCCATGCCGCCATCACCCATACCATTAACAGTCAGGGCGCCATTTAGCATGCTATTAGCTGCAAGAGAGTGCAGTAGGAATAAGAAAAACACAAATTATGGGGATTAGCATTTGGACAACCTACAATTTCGACTGCCCTGCGTGTCCATCTGCGTCCAGTACTGTTCCGATGGACTCTGCGTATTAGTCCCCGGCGGTGCTTGGACCGGCGCCCCCGTGTACCGAAAATACGGATTCTTCAGATCGAGTGTATTGCTGGATGATATCAAGGTGCCCTCGATGTGCAGATCTATGGTCACATCATACGACTGCCGCCGATTGGCTTCCAACAGCACGCGCCCCGTCAACGTCTGCCCTTGTTTGATGAAAATTGGCATGGGTAGCAGACAACGCACCTGATACCAGTGCGTCAGTGGCGCTGTGGGTGAAGTGGACAGCCAAACATTCTGGCTGCTACCACTGAATTCTACATCAAACCAAAAAGCCAGACCGTGGCAGATGCCTGTCTGCAATATGTGAAACTCGAGCGGAATGTCTAAGTAAAATTATTTTTGTTAATCGACTATAAATTGAGAAATCGATCAATTATTTTACCAATGACATGTAAATCATCTTCCTTGTCGTTGAGAAAGTCACACACATGCCGCACCGACTTAGCCATGCAAATGCGTATATCAAAGGTGTCCACAATCGGCTGACGGAAGTACTCCTTCATGCCCTCCTTGTGCAGGGTAGTCAGATCGACGCCATGAAAGGCCGATTGATACCAAAAGTTGGCCTTGTTGTACTGCTCAGAGTAGAGCGACTCATCCGAAAACGGCGCAATGTGCAGATCTCCATGAGTGGGATACATTTTGCCGTGCGGCTTCAGCCATTTACGCGCGTGCAGATACGTTTCCAGCATGCGCTCGTTGTACAGCATATAGCCCATGGGCTCGGATATGATAACATCTACTTTTTCGGGCAGCTCGATTTCCTCAATCTTTCCGGGTATCACTGAGATCTTATGCTGCACATTATTTGACTCAACCAGCTGCTGTGCATATTGAGCCATATTAGACGCCTCAATGGCATACACCTTGGCAGCGCCAGCCTGCACGGCAAAGAAAGACAGTATTCCCGAACCAGCACCTACATCCAGCACAATTTTATCCTGTAAAATTGTAATTAAATCAAATTAACCAAGGTATTAGAAATTTCGATTTCACTCAAAAATTTGCGTTTACCTGAAAATCTATGGAGTTGCCTAAGATGGCCCGCTGATAGGTGCTCGTCCTGACATAGTCCTGCATCATGTTTTGCTGCTGACTGAGGTAGCCATAGAATTGGAAGTACTGCGATGCGGACGACTCTTCGGTGCGCTGCGAGAATACAGACTTTGGTCGCAGATGCTTCACATTCTCTACAACCTTGCGGAAGAGCTGCTGATCCTTATCGCTGCCAAAGCGCAGCACGAGATTGTCCGATTCCAGTGACACAGCATAGCAGCGCCGGCCCAGCTGTGCCGCATCCGTGTCTGCTGATATCATGTACTCTTTAAGCACATGACCCTGATCGTTGTCTGAAAAAAACGAGAAAAATAGGGTCAATGCCATGCGGCAGTTAAGGTCTAGATGTGGAGCTCACCGAGCATTATCCGCAGCAACACGCCTTGGGAATCATAGCTACAGCTTAACGTACAGCTACTCTTGTATATGCTGTTAAATTCGAGCTTCTGCTCGTCGGAAATTGCGCTTATTACAACGCCCGAGAATTGGCAGTTGCTAAGTGGGCAGAGGGCCGCGGCGACGCTATTGACGCATTTATTATTCTGCTCAATGGCGACGCGGCTGCTGCTGCTGGTGGACATTTTGTTGTGTTCTGTGGCTGGCTACTGAGTGTGGGATTAGGAATAGGGTGATAATCACAATACTTTTCGTTATAATTGACAATGTAGGCTGTGAGATGCACGCGGACGCAAAGCACACACATATAAGTACACACGCACACACACACACGCAAAGAGAGACAGACACAGACGCACGCGAGACTCTTGCGACGCGCAAATTTTTTTTCTGTCGCCGACGACAGAAATGCAAAAATTTTCCACAGCAACTTTATGTGCGGCGAGCTCTAGAAATGCGTGTGCTGTACACTATTTATGTTGTTGGCAAATAAATATCAATTTGTGGCGCGTTCTGTCTTGCTGGTATCGCAAAAATCGATCGATTTTTGTTGATTTCGTATTGATTTGACACAGAACGTGCGTATTTTTTGCGAACGTTGCTACAACCCTGCAGCTGTGTGACTAGCGATTGCAAGTGAATGGCTGCGGCGTTGCCAGTAGGTGTGCGACAGCGTTGCCACTTTCGATGCCACCAGCTTGCAACGTCGCAGTCATTCACGAGCTAGTTGCTTTAGAGATGGTCAATTGTTAACCGCAGTGGCACTCGTAAGCGTGACTATCAAATAGTTGCGAAACATAACAGCGAACTAAATAAAGCAATAAATTATTTAATTAAATTTATTTTTTAAACATGCTTTGACTAGATACTGGTAACAAATTTTTTTTGATAGTCTGTTTGCGCAAAAAGTTAGTTAACTGAGTCTCGCTAGACACATGACTGCGACTTTAATGCTCATCTCTAGCCCGTTTGGCAAATGAGGCACACCAGATGTTGCCATAGCAATTGGCGCCCAATATCAATTAAAAACAACACAATTTCAATACACGATAATGAATTAATCAATGAAAATGTTTTTGCGTTTACAGTAAAAAAGCCAGACGCTCTGGCGATAACGATTCCTGCAGTGATAATGAGCACGAAGAGGAATTTTATTACACAGAAGACGATGACGATGACGAGTTGGTCAAAACGCCTAGTCCTGCATCTCCACCCACGCTCAGCCACCGGGACATGGCACGTCCGCCGCACGAGGATCCAGAATACCAAAGACAGATCGTTGGCAACTTCAAGTAAGTAGATCTATCCAATATATACAACGATCTATTACTATGACTACAATCCAAATTTATTATTGATACAGACAAGGACGTGCTATGAATAACTATCACCACCTAACGCATCAGCAGGCACAGCTACATCACAGCAGCAGCAATGGTCACATCACAAACACCCAGCACCAGCAACTGCAGAGCAACAACACGAGCTGCATACCGACTTCGCCGCTGGCGCATCACAATTACACTTGGCCATCCACCGGTGCGATCACAGTAAGCGCATCCTCTACGAACACCCACCAGGCGCACCACAGCAGCAGCAGCAGCAGCAGTGGCAGCGGCACCGGCACCGGCGCCGGCAGCAGCTCGGCGACACTCAACAAACAGGCACGCGCATCGTCGTCGCGTCCGTCCCACTCGACAGCGCCATATCCATCGCCGACTTACGTCCATCATCATCATCACAATTACAGCAATAGCAGCATTGGCAGCGCTGTCAGCAGCAGCAATAGCAGCAACAGCAGCAGTAGCAACAGCAGTCCGGTCATACACAGCAATAGCAGTGCCAACAACATGTTGCAGCAATTGTCGCAGCAGAATGTCACGGTTACGGCGCACCACAGCCACAACAACAGTGGGGTCACCCAAGCGCAGCAGCAACAGCAACAACACCACCTGTCTGGCGTGACAATCACGGCCAACTACCATCCGCCGCAACAGCAGCAGCAGCAGCATCAACAGCAGCACTTGCGCGGCCAGCAACAGACAACTGCCAGCAACAATTTGGTTGCCAATTCCGGCCAGCACATGCCACTGCAACATGTGGCCGTGCAGCAGGCGGTGAGCGCGGCCAGGAATACACCAAACTCACCGAACCGACGTACGCGCGGCGAGAACAAGAAATGCCGCAAGGTCTACGGCATGGAGCGACGCGATCAATGGTGCACTCAGTGCCGATGGAAGAAGGCTTGCAGTCGCTTTGGTGACTGAAAGCGACAGAAATCGTCGACGGAGGCAGCAGCCCATGCGTCGGCGACACTGCGGCAAGTAGCAACATCAACAGCAACATCAGCAGCAGCAGCAGTTGCTGCTAAAATGACAACAACTGTGGTGCGATTGGCGGCCGAGGTGGCGGCGGGCAAACAGCTGCCTGCCTCGCTCACTATCAAAACCAATAAACGCTATGGCATACACCACATACAACCACAGACCAGCAACAGCATCAGCAGCAATAGCAACCACATTCACAGCAGCAGCAGCAGCATCACCAACACCATCACCAATAATATCAATAGATTGCCGCGCATTAAGAGCGTTGCCACTTCGGTGATTGTATCGCCCGCTGTCGTAGTGGCCAGGCCAATGCGCACACCCTCGCCCACCACCAGCAGCAGCAATGATGAAGGAGTTGCCAACGACAATGCCGATGTACAGATGGAAGAGGTTGCTGCTGCCAATGGGCTGCTGGCTTGGAGCCGGGCTGCCGCTGCGGGCCAGCAGCAGCAGAAACAGCAGCAGACAATGCTGCTCCAGGTCTAAGTTGTTGCCGTGTCATCCGTATTGCTGTTGTTTTTGCAAAGAAAGAGTTCGCCGCTAAGAAAAAAAAAACAAACAAAAAAAAAAACAAACAAACAACAAATTAATGAAAATTAATATATAAATGGTCTCTTCTTATTTACTCTGCATTGAATTGTGCAAACCTTAAACGTAACGGTATCTCTTTGTTGTTGTGCTTGTGTTGCCAACTGCCGTGCAAATGTTGCTAACATTTGCGCTGGGCAACATTTGCAATAAACAATAATAATAATTATTATTATGCATAAATATACATAAAAATACATACATATTTATTTTAAAACCTGATTTTGTTAATTCTTATGTTAAAAACAAAACAAAACAAAAAAAAAAAAACAAAAACAAACAGTGGCAAAGATTTTTCGCTGCGCTTCGTTTGGCCAGCAATTTTTATATACATGTAAAACCGCAAAAAAAAAAAAGGAACACCACAAGCATATAAATATAAATATGTATACAAAAAATGCAAAAGGAAAAACATATTACAAAAAAAAGAAAACAAAAAGCAAACAAATCTTAAACAAATATACATCTGATTTTTTTAGTTTGTAAGACTCTAGTAAATTTTTTCTTAGTATTAGTGCAATTTTTGTTCTTCTTCTTGCTCCCAAAATATTCAAAAGAAAGTAAATAAAACAACAAAAAAATGCAAATCAAAATATAAAAATAACCGAACTATGCATAAACATATAAATATTTAAAGCGTTACATCAACATATTAATCAAAGAATTCAAGAACATACAAGCATATAAATAGTGAAATTATTTGTGTATAATTAAAATTCAAAACAGTTTAACCAATTGTATGTGTGTGTTAAATCGCTAAGAATTAAGTATTAAGCAACTTCATGCATAAAACAAACAAAAAATTAAAAAATGCAATACATACACGTACTCATAGATGCAAAGGAAAATTAAGGATAAAGGATGGACATTGCGTAGCAAATTTTAAATGCTTTGTATTCTATCAGTTAAAATCGAAAGCGAAAGTGCATAACGTAAAAAGCTGGTAAAATATTATATTTAACTTAAGATCACACATACATGTATACCATCTATAGAACAATTATCCCTGAACCCAGCCCAAAAACAAGAAAACAAGAAATATAAACAAAACACAAAAGCAATCCATGCTACTGTAACATATACCATATAATGCAACTTTAATTTAAATGTAGTGCAATTTTTAAAACAAACAAAACGAAATGCAATAGGCAGAAAAAATGAAAAACAAAATAAAATAAACAAACAGACAGAGAGAGACAGATGAACAGTTGAGCAGGTCAGCGGATAGACAGACACAAAAAAAGCAGGATAAAAAATATGAAAATTGATTTTGGAGCCAAGAAGAATAAATTTATTTTTGAAAAATGTTCAAATTTTATTTTTGTTATTAAGCTGATTAATTTCAAATGATTCTAAAAGCCTATTAATTAATTTGTAAAGAACCTACGACTAAAAACTAATATTTAGAACTTTAACTGTTCGCGTTGTGCGACTATTGTGAATTGTTCAAATTACGGTATCAACAATGATGTCACAAATAACCCAACAACGGGCTATGTGAAATGCAAAGAGAGCAACTGAAGTAAGAAAGAGAAACGATAGTGAGAGAGATAAAGAGTGGAAATCGAGAGAAAAAAAAAACACAAGGAATTCTTAACCAAATTGGAAGTACAAACTACAATCTAGAATATGTATAAACTATATAAAAAGAAAAAAAAAAACAAAAACAAAAACAAAAACAAACAAACACATGATATATGAATACGCATATATTTTTCGAATTAAGCGCAGTAGCCAACGGGCTCAGTTGACGGGAAACATTAAATGCAATGGAAGAAAATGCGATAAATTGAGCTTAAGAGCAGCAACAGCTTTAAAAAAAAAAACAACCACAAATTTTTGAGAAAAATATGTAAAAACATATTAAAAAAAAAGAAAATGAAAATGAAAATTTTAATAACACGCAGGCGCGCACATTTCGTTGAAATTGTTTTGCCGTGATTTGAATGAAATTCATAATGGTGGCCATTGTTTATTTTGGAATGCGACAAAGTTTAACAATTTCTTTAAGCAAGCAACATTTTTACAATTGTATTTCGTTTTTATTAATCATAAGTTAATAATAACAACACACAACGTTTATAATTACACCTATATTTACACACATATACATATAGAAGAACAACAAAAACAAGATGGAGCAAAAGTTTAATAAATCTTTAGACATATTTGAATACAATTATTATGATTACGTTAGTTATCATCATCAATTATTGTTTCTCTTGCTAATTCTCGTAAACCAACAAACACTCACACAGAGACACTGACACTGACACTGACACACACACACACACACACACACACACACACACTCTCACACACACACGTACGCCTTCGATCTTTTTCGTTGCGTTCTGGAAATTATTTAAATATAAGTGATATTTTTAAAAATTATCCATTATTGTATAATTATTTCTAATGCATACAAACATACATATATCATATACTATTTTATGTTAATGATTATTATTATTATGAAAAGAACGCAAGAAATGCAAATTCTATCAAGAGGATCCTCAGAATGTTGTACAGAGCGCAGATCAAGCAACAAAACAAACAAATGGCACAATTGTTATTTAACCGAAAACCGATAGAAGAAGAAAAAATAAAATAAAAAACATTGGAATAAAAAGTTAAATTGTGCAAGTACGAGTATGTAAAATAGCAGGAAATCGAGGTCTCGATATCATTATTTGACAAATTATAATATCGAGAAAACAAAAACCAAGATGAATGCAATTTGTTAATGCAAATGACCACAAATCACCACAGCAACAACAACAAACAACAAACAGCAAACAACAAATAAACAAACATCAAGAAAACAACCGTTTTATTAAAAATATACAATTGTTATTTATAATTAAAAAACCAAACAACAAACGACTTTGTTTTTATTTGATTTCCTGTTTTTCAATTTCGATTTCAGTTTGATTTCAATATGATTTTACTTGACTTTGTCGTACATCTAAAACGGTTTCCGAATGGTATATCCACATAAACAGATCCTACAGAACCAGAAAAAACACACACATCAATATATTGTGTAAAGGTAGATCTCTGTTGAAAGCATTTCTCTAACTGACATGGTTTCTCCAAGAGGTCTCAGATATTGACTAGAAAACAATGAAATCTATGTTTGTATTTCTTATATGTAGACATGGAGATCCTATACAATCTGAATAGATATTCCCAATCTTTTCGTTTCTGTATGATTTTCATTCAATTTGATTTCAGATCGTTCAAAGTAAAAATTGCAATGTAAATCAGATGAATTAACATGAATATAAATGTAATCGGTCATATTTGCCAATATAAATATATATATATATATATATGTGTGTGTGTGTATGTACGTATAAGCAAAGGTTTTAGCCACAAGAATATCTAGATTGATACTTATGATATTTCCTCTGATATTTACTGTATTGTCGTTATTGATGTGTTAACGTTAATAATATTAACATTAAGCGGTCAAGTCACGAACTCTGATCTGAGGTCACGAGGTCAACTGTAAAAGTGTCCGAGTATTTACAATTAGCTATCTCATCTGGCAGCTAAGAGTCGTATCCATTTCGGCTCAGCAGCTGCTAGTACAGCGCGGTATGTTGCATCCACTAAACGATAACTAAGTAAACACATACATACAAGTAAATTAATATAAAGAGTAAACATACATATAGCCACATACTATATACATATACAATACATTACATAATTATATGTAGATCTGGAACTAAGCGCGATCTGTCCGTTTTCTTAACGACAGCGACAGCGACAGCGACTTGACTTGAATTGAATTGAATTAAATTGAATTGGTGTTGTTATCTTTAAGTATTTATGGCATATTTATGATAAGCATAACTATATACTATATAGAGTTGTCTGTGCACTCGATGAATCTCTCTGGCCTGGTCGGGCATATGTGCTTATATTTGTGCATCTATTTGTGCGTATGCCTGTGTGTGCGGGTGGGTGTAATTGGATTTTCTAATTGGAGAGCAAAATTAGTTTTAACATAAAAATTGCATTCAAAATAAGGCTGATTTATTTGACTTGTTCGTTTTTTACTCGTATATAGAGTTATTATAGTGAGAGAAACACACACACACACATACACACACACACACACACACACCACCCACACACCAAACCACAAACACACACAAGCACACGCTTGACAGTGTGTCATATCAACAATTTTTGAACCAGGTCCAGAGAAGATTAAATGAATAGAAATTCCATTTAAAATTAAGTAAAATTTTTACAAAATGCTCGCACATTGAATTAGTTTAGTGTATCAAGCAAAAGACTTGCGCATTATTTAATCGGCTGCATTCATTAAGAATCACCAGATCATAAAATACCATAGATATAAGGGCATGAGAGGTATGATATGCAGTGTACGTGAGACAATCCCCATTGTTGAGGGGATCCCGGGCAAGACAACTGCTCAACACTGCCAACAACAGCACATACATTCCCGCATGCCCATTATTTATACGTACATCAGGCATCTGACATCAGACATCAGACATCTGACATCAGACATCAGGCTCATACATTGATTCAACTCTTCAAGTTCACAGTAAACTCGTACTTATATTGATAAAGCAATAAGCTGTTTATACAATCACATGCATGTACGTATGTATGTACATCTGTTGTGTAGGCAATATGCAAGATGATGAAAACTTTGGTATTGGGAGTACATACATACATCTCATCACTAGACAGACGCACTCATTCTTATAAACTGACTGAAACTTCAAACCAAATTAATTGAGAACTAAACAAAGAAAACAAAAAACTAAAGTAAAAAGAATACTAAATAAAAGAACAAATTTTAAACTAATAATTATATAGGCCACATCATTTTACAATGGCTCTTAGGATGGGCGCGCCTGTTGCCATTGGTGCGGGCGACGCCGCTTAATTTAAGTGACACGTAAAATAATTAAATAATTTCAATAATAGTTTTTAAATAAGTTTTTCTACCCAAAAGTTGTTGTAACTTTTTTACGATTTAAATTTTACGATAATTGGCATATGCATTTTTTGTAATAATTCAATGAAAGCGCGTTCAGTGCCAGAATTACGACTTATGATTTACTCATACGAGCGATTTATATATACTTATATATATGTATATAGAGCTTTGACATAATTTATAATACATATGTATTTATATTGCTCTTAACTAAGTTGCATGAATTGGCAAAGCACAAAAAAAAAATGAAATGAAATGAAATGAAAGAAAACCACAAGATGTCTTCAAAATTGGCTAAAGAAATAACCTTACTTTCAAAAGACTTTTCGCTCGGGCAGTTATTTGGAAAGAAAAACGTCCAGCAAAAACAAAAAATAATTAATAAAATGACAAATTTGAATACATGTATAATTTGCGCATTGGTTAACAAAAAAAAAAAACTTGTACTGAGCGTGCGTCAAAAAATCGTATATATAATTAAATAACATTTACACTGATCATTTAATTAAGTTTACAAAGTGAATCAAGACAAGTAATGTGCTACTTTAAACGTTTTTAAGATTTAGACTCTAAACGACTCTATTAACATTTAACTTTGTTATCACTGGGCTTCTTAAGAGCTTACTTATAAGCACTACAAAAGAGCTTACCTACAATCACATGCTCTATAACCTTTCTATATATATATATATATATATATATATGCATATATACATACATATACATATATATAACTCTCATGTGTTATGTGTCAAACCCTGTCCGCGACTCAAAGCTCATCAATTCATTCATTCGCCCCATACATGCATACATACACACATAGATACATAGATACATAAGAAAAACTATACTCATACACATGTAATATGCATTATTAATATCTCGAGTAGCTCGTAAACTATGATTAATAGTTTGTACTATATCCATAATTGTTGTTGTGTCTTCATCCGATATCCTTAAGGATCATACCATGTTAAAGCAGCGTATGAAACACACAAACGCACACACGCACACACACACACACACACACACACACACATACACACACTCGAAATGAAAGATTTTGTTATGTTTATGTTTATGTTGTTTTGTTCTACTTGATATGTATTATCTATGAATACGAACATTTTGTTGAGATCTTTGCCGTCGAGCAGAAGAGTTTACACTATATATATATATATATATATATATATAGCTCTATGCATTATGTTAATGAAACGATTCTTAATTCCGCTTTGATAAACAACAAACTAGTTGAACTGGTTGTCACAATGTGCACGAGCATTTATGTTAATGCTAATGCTAATAATAATATTCTAATTGTCAAAAAACAAAACAAAACAAACACCACATTACAAGGTACAAATAAGGCACACAGTGTGAAAGCCCCCTTAGACGGGCCCGGGCTGGGGTCTGACCCTGAGGCGCAGGAGGAGCAGGTGAAATATCAGACACAGATACAACCAACCAACCAACCAACCAACACACATACACACACACACACACATACACACACACACACACATACTTATAAAGTTGAATTTAGCATAACTAAGTTTTCATTACGAATAAAATTTAAAGTGAAATTATAAAAAAACGAAGAAAAAGAAGAACAAAGCAAACAGATTAACCAAGCAACTTAAATGTCGTGTAAATTCATGTTAAACGTACATAAATAGGTAAATACATACATAAAATAACATAAACATTATAATAGTAAAGTAATATGCAGTAAATATAC